TATCTAGTCATACGTTTTTTATCATATTTTAATTTTAATTCAAGTTATTTGTATTTTGAAATTGTAAATTTTGTATGTAAATTTTAAAATACTCATAACTCGAATTAAAATTAAAATATGATAAAAAACTTATGATGTTAATTAGATATTAATCTTATATTTAAACGTTATAATAGGTCAATTCATTTTGAATAYTATAAACTAACTGAGCTTAACGTGATCCGATGAGCATAAAATTTGTTATGTTATGCACTTGTAAGACGGAAACAACGCTTGCGGGTATCACGCACTCTTAAGAAATATTTCACCAGCTTGAAATTAAAACTTAACATCTTACCTTGAATTTTATGTAAAAATAAAATAACTAATTTTTTTCGAGCAAATCAATTTTACAAATTCTTCCCTCATACATGTGATTAGACAGTGGAGTTGTTGGTACATACAATTGTATATAATAAACGTATATTGGTACATAATATATATAGATAAAAGTATTACCAAATATTAATACATATAACTTTATTAGTTATTATGAATTTATATATGTTAAACTTAGTTTTATATACTTATATTACAGCTGCTCGTTGGTTTGATATATTATATTACACTACTTTAAAATAATGATAATAATAGCCAATAAGCCAATAGACAATAGGTTTTTGTTAGTAGTGACACAATTATTAGTTTTATTTGGGATATCCAAAACTTGTAAAATATTATTATCCTGGCAAATAATTTTATCTTATGTATTTTATAAATTATATGATATAATGTATTTCACAGCATAAAATAAGATATAATCTTAAAAACTTAAAATTATTATGCAATTAGTATAAGTACAAGTTAGTAATGAAAGATAGAGTTCAGTCACCTTGATACCTATAATGATTATACATATATTTAATAATGTTGTCTAAACTATAATATTTGCGTTTTCTTTCATATAGCTGTGCCACCAACTACTAAGTAAACTATTTTAWCTAAATATAATTATCGACTGTCATTGTTCTTAAATAACTTTTATTGAGAAAAAAACTATTTTCTTTAGAGTTAATGTTTAACTGATCTGCGTAAGAATAAAATAAAACATAGGTAGGTATTCTAAATATTTTTCGATAGTTCGATGTTCGATATTATGTAGGTAAGTATTATGTTCATATCCGTTWTATCGTTGGATCTCGGAGCGTGTTGAAAGAAAGTATTATCAAAATTATGTAATTTCTATGGGAATAAGATGCTTGGTGCGTATTTATTGTATACCTATATTCACCGTTGACAACATTAGCTTGTTTTATTTCACTTAGTTCTTTGCTATTGCAGAATGTTGGGCAATAAACAGTTGGTAGTTTCTTTTAAATTTGCTCTATAGGGACGGTTATACTGTACTGTGATAGTGTGGTGCTTGGTATATATTGAGAATAATGTATATTCTGTAGATACCTACAAGCAATCAATAATTACTTTTAATTTCTGATACTAGATATAGGTATACGAGTATATATTTGTAAAATTAATTTTTTACTAACAGCTAATCTCAGGAACTACAGGACCGTTTAAATAAAATTTATATCAATAAGGACTCAATTGGGAATCGGAGTGAGTTTTAAGTTTATTTGTTCAATCTGAATAGAAATTATAAAATTCATGTAATTTCTGTTTATATCTAAGGCTGCCATAAGTTACATAAATACAATTAAAAATATATATATATACTGTAGCTGACCTAATATTCGTCTTTATGGGATTTCTTTTTACTTTTTTAGGTAAAATAAATAAAATACAATAATATTTAATTTATTGTTTGTAATTTAAATATACAACAAAAAGGCAATGCTTAGCTTATAGACTAAAAAACTACTCAACCGATTTTGACGAAAATTTCAGAGATTGTTTGTAAAAATATCAGGAAATTTTAGAGAATAGTTTGAACCATGTTCGAAATTATATCAAGTGCTA